CCTTTCAAGTTCAGTTAACTTGTTTTAATAGTGTGTTCAATTTAATTATCAGTGTTTGTGTGACATACAGTTTGTGGTGTTGAATAAATAAATAAAAATTAAACCTGATGTCTTCATTTTCAACTTTAGTGTTCACGCTATGTTTAGCATCATTTTAAATTTGAATTACATAATGTCCAGATAGCTTCATTTAGCTCAGAGGTTCATATATCTCACACACTAACATAAATACTGTTTATTATTATTAAACTGTTGTTATTCAGCACATTTATGGTATAGTGCAGCGCGACCTTTGCGCGTGCCACTTTCTATAAACAATGACATTAGAACTGGATCAGATTGTGTCTCTTCCAACACAGATGTCTTTCACATCATCTGGAATCTGACGTAGATTAACTATGAGATTAAAATGTATTCCATCAGTCCTAGTTCTGAAAGCAGTGTATCCGCCACCATGTTGATAGAAATATAGCGTCTGTCCGCGCATGCGTGTGCGCATGTGATTTATCACAAAGCCTCAGCAGGAGATGTTTACATTTTCAGCGGGGGGGGGTTATGTTATTTTGTGTTATTCTGCTAAGTCATGGTTTGTAGGCCTCAATGCCTTGAATGATCAGGGCCATGTGTGGAGCAGCACGAGCGCACACACGGGCTCACTAAGATGCACACACGCAGGCCCGCTTGAAGAAACACACACACGCAAGTTCACACAGCCATACACACATGCTCCCTAAGACACGCACACGCGGAGGGAAGAAAGCAGAGCAAAAAATGTTATTTTCAATAAAAAGTACCAGTTTCAGATGAATGAGAAATATGTGGTTATAATAAAGTCAATAAACAAGTAGATAATCAAGTGATATTATAAACTCTGTGATTTTAGAATGTAATCTTTATGATTTTACAATGTAATCTGTGTTTAAGCTTATTCATGATGAATGTTGAATGGAAAAAACCTGTAGCTTTGTGAATGTTCTGGAAAAGACGTTATGAGCAAGAGTGTTACGCAAGAGGAAAAACCCTAAAATACAGCTCTGAGCCAATCAGCATGGGACAGCACAGAATAACTGTGCATTATTGAACAAAATACACCTAGATTTTAATATGCATAAGGAATGACTGGCAAAATCTCATAAGAAGCCCGTGAAGTCGGACCAAGGTCCAGCGCAGAAGGGGTGGGTTAAGCCTGATGGGATGACTGGCCGAGAGATGTCAGTCAAAATTTCAGGCTTTATAAACAGAGGGTTTCAGAGAAAGCTCTGCTGTTTGGGGACCCACTTCACAAAGCGAAGGAGCTCAGGACAAGATCCGAAGAACCTTTGGATGAATTGTGGATTAATAGGGCAATTTTGAACGGTTTTTGCTTGAGAAGAACTGGGGTGGAAACCGATGGAATAAGTTTCTTTTTTGGAACTATTTCTTCAAAACTCAACAGCCCGGATTAAACCTGAAACCCTTTTTCTTCAAATTGAACCAGATCAAGGACCAGGAGTGGCCCACATCCGAACAAATGGGATGGGGAAATCTGCTTCTTACTGGATTCAGAAAACATGGTAAGGGGACGCTCCTCAAAATTGATCCTTACTAAAACCTTATCCCAAATTTTAGCAGTGGTGTATGAATTGACAAGCAGAAAAAATAATTATATTAAAAACCTGGTTGCTCAGAGTTGTAGAAGGGTCTTCTTTGTGGTGAGGAATAATCTGTTGGGGCAGGTAGAGAGAGTAGGTAAACTGTGTGGGTACTTGTGTTCCTGAGGGAGACCGGGCGTGGCCGGCTGGACTGAAGGAAGTCCGACGCCGGGCAGAGAGGGATCCAAGCGCCTGTTTCAAGCCCATCCACAGGGACTGAGACTTACCTCGCCCAGGGAAGGTCAACAACTAAAAAAGGAACTAAGGAGTGAGAATCATTCATCATCTAATCTCTGTGTAATCCAGTGTAATCATTATTGTGCTATACCACTGTTCCCCTTCAAAAGTTATTGATTAAAAGCAAAGCAAAACGTAAAATTCTGGATTCTTATTTCAAACACACCTTTTGTTCTTGGAAGTAGAAAACTTGGTTCAATGAAACAACAGAAGCATGTGGGAGGTTTTAAACAGTTTTATTAGCTTTTGATTATAGAACAACACCCCTGAGTCTTGTGCCTAGGCTCTGAAAATCGCCAGATCGATTTAACAATTGCAACGCTAAATCAGGAGATGAGCTTCCGTTAACTTGTGCTCCCTCGTCTGCCAAACGTCCCCACTCCGGCTGCTAGGTCGGGCGAGGCACGAGGTGAAAGTTGGGTGTGGTGCAAGGATCGGAGGTAGTTAACAGTCTGGGTGAATCATCTCAACACAGCCTTAAAAACTAAAACTGTCCTAGGAAACGTCTGCGGGTAATACCTGAGCCCTAGGATTAGTTTTGAGACCCGTTGGAGGAGAGGCTGCGGTGAGGGCGTGGCACGTGTCCTGTGCCTACCTCACTCGGGGAAGCGAAACAAACTGGATTCGAAAGTGAACCGGTAGCCAGTGCAGTGAGGCCAAAACTGGTGTAATGTGCTCTCTTTTCCTGTACTGGTTAAAAATCGGGCTGCTGCATTCTGGACCAGTTGTAGTCGTGCAATGGAGGTCTGACTGATACCAAACAAGAGTGAATTGCAGTAATCAAGCCTAGTTGTAATGAATGCATGTATTACTGTCTCCAGGTTATTTTTGGACAATATGGGCTTCAGTTTAGACAGCCGCCTCAGTTGGAAGAAACATGATTTAACAATCATGTTTACGTGACTGTTAAGTTTCAGGGAAGGGTCCATTATCACTCCCATATTAGTGACTCTTTGTTTTTCTGACAGTGTTAGAGCGAAGAGGTCGATGCAGTGGTTTGTGATCGTGTCGTTGGGAGTGAATAACATGACTTCAGTCTTCTTTTCATTGATACTTAAGAAGTTTAAAGCCATCCAGTCCCTGATGTCACGCTGTGAATACACGCTCTGTAAACAGCCCCTGAGCTTGGTTGTTTGGTTATGGCTTATTTCTTTCTGAATTTAATAGTTCCTATGCTCTTGAATGCACCATGGCTCTTCCAACACTAGTGAACACACCGCTCTATGTAAAGTGCAGAGCTCAGTTGGAGTTTTTTTCTTTTGAAATGGACACTTGTTGTTCAAGCTTGTTTGTGCTTTACTGGTTTATTGCTGTGTCTAAATACCAGAAGGAATAGCAAATAAATCATCCTAAACTGAATATTTGTCTCCATGTTCTTTAATGAGAAGACAACTTCATATCTTGCCACTAAGAGGGGTCGTTTACATGGCGCGTATTTTGAGTGCATCCGCAGCTTTCTCTCTGTGGTTCTGCTGATCATTTACACGACACCAGTGGCCCCCCCTCTTTGAATCCGGAGGTTTCTGAGCCCACCTTCCAGAGTGGAGGTTTTTCGCTGACTGCCTGCTGATAATGTAAACATCTCCTGCTGAGGCTTTGTGTTAAACCACATGCGCACACGCACACGTGGACAGATGACATATTTCTGTCAACATGGCGGCGGATACACTGCTTTCTGAACTACGACTGATGGAATATATTTTTATCTCGTAGTTAATTTACGTCAGAGTCCAGGTGCTGTGACCGACATCTGTGTTGGAAAAGACACAGTCGGATCCAGTTCTAATATCACTGTTTATAGAACGATGCATGCGCACGTCGCGCTGCACTATAACATCTAAATGTGCTAAATAATAACAGTTTAATAATAATAAGCAGTATTTATCTTAAGTTTGAGATATATAATGAAGCTCTCTGAGCTAAATGAAGCTATCTGGACATTATGTAATTCATATTATGTGATTAAAATGATGCTAAACATGTTGCGTGTTACTAAAGTTGAAAATGAAGACATCAGGTTTAATTGTAATTTTATTTATTTATTCAACACCACAAAACTGTCACACAAAAACTGATAATTAAACTGAACACACTATTAAAACAAGGTAACTATAAACCGCATTTATGAACTGGACTCTCCTCTGTTTTTATCCTGGATATACTGGTCCCACGTTGTTTATCTGGCTCGTTCAGGCTGTCAGTCCTTTGATTAATGCAGCTTAAAACATTCAATGGATTGAATAAAAGAACTGAGGGGAATTTTAAATGGGGATGTACCGATCCACTTTTTTTTTACATCCGATCCTGATACCTAAATACTAAACCGATACCAATCCTGTTCTGATATCATGATCATCATTGGTTTTATACAAGGCTGTAATAATCTCCTCTCAAATACAATTTGTACAAATATATGCATGCATGTCCAAAAAGGCAACTTGAGTTAAGTTTTATTAATGTTGAATAAGTTTTAAAGTTAGAATTAAATTCTGCAAACACAAAACATTATTTTTATTCCTTAAAGTAGATATTAAAGTGATTAATTTAAGTTATTGTTTAAAGTTATTTTATATTTTTTTAAATAAGGAGCAGATGTAATATTTTTTTTTCATCTTTCTGCACTCTTTTCATTCAATGTTTTCTTTTTGATTAATTTGTTTTGTTTCTTTTGTTTATTTTAAATGAATTCAATTCAATTCAAAAATACTTTATTAATCCCAAATTTTAACAACAATTGTCTAAACTTCATTTATACTTCAGAGCACTACCTCATGGCCAGTTAAAACAAGTTTGTATTGTTTCTATATTGTTCATTGCTTTTCAATATAATAAGATTGGAAAATTGAAGGTGCATTGTGACCTTATAACACCTCACAGTGTTGCGTATAAAACAAAATCGGTATCGGCCAAAATTGGAATCGGCAGGTCAGACTTTTTAGAGATCGGTGATCAACCAGAAAACTGCAATTCGTGCACCCCTAGTGTTGAGTTATTGTTCAATCTAAATTGACCTGTGGGGTCACTGTGCACATGATTATCTGTGTTTGGCCCATTAACTTCTCTGGGGTCTAACCCAACCTGTCGGCTCATTACAGTTCCTCATAATGAATTTAAAGTGTTTGTTTGTTTCAGTGCTGCAGCCATGACTCAGACCGTTCAAACCAACGGCATCCAGTCCCTCAGTAAGACCTGGGAGCTGAGTTTGTATGAGCTACAGAGAACACCACAGGTCAGTCTTGATGTGTGTTGTGAAAAACAAAACAGCAATCCCATGATTCTATTGGATATAAATAATGCCAATGTTTTTGCATTTTCTTGATCAAGTAAGTATTTACGGTAATCAGGTTTGAGGACACTAAAAACCATGATCCAAAAAAGCTAAACCTTGTCCTCTGGACATAAAAAAAAAAAACATATCGATCTATCGATCAATCGATCGATAGATCGATAGATATTAGGGGTTGAACGAGTATATAATTTTTAAACTTGACATTAACATAATAGAACCCGAGTAGAACTTGAGTATTTGATGACGTCATAGATCTCAAGATGCAAAAATAAATAAATAAATAAAACCGCAAAAAAAGGTAATTATTTACAAAAAAAAGGACCAACAAAACATTGGGAGCATACAGGTCCTTCTCAAAAAATTAGCATATTGTGATAAAGGTCATTATTTCCCTGACCTTGGGGGACCTGCGGAAGCAGTGGACTGAGTCTGGAGTAGAAACATCCAGAGCCACCGTGCACATGCGTGTGCAGGAAATGGTCTACAGGTGCCGCATTCCCCAGGTCAAGCCACTTTTGAACAAGAGTGCGTCAGAAGCATCTCGCCTGGGACTGCTGCTGAGTGGTCCAAAGTTATGTTCTCTGATTACAGTAAATTTTGCATTGGCTTTGGAAATCAAGGTCCCAGAGTCTGGAGGAAGAGAGGAGACACAGAATTCACATTGCTTGAGGTCCAGTGACAAGTTTCCACAGTCACTGGGGTGCCATGTCAGCTGCTGGTGTTGGTCCACTGTGTTTGATCAAGCACAGGGTCAATGCAGCTAGCTATCAGGAGATTTTGGAGCACTTCATGCTTCCATCTGCTGAAAAGCTTTATGGAGATGAAGATTTCATTTTTCAGCACAACCTGGCACCTGCTCACAGTGCCAAAACCACTGGTAAATGGTTAACTGACCATGGTATTACTGTGCTCAATTGGCCTGCCAACTCTCCTAACCTCAACCCCATAGAGAACCTGTGGGATATTGTGAAGAGAAAGTTGTGAGACGCAAGACCCAACACTCTGGATGAGCTTAAGACCGCTATCGAAGCATCCTGGGCCTCCATAACACCTCAGCAGTGCCACAGGCTGATTGCCTCCATTCTAGGGTGGGGGGGTCGACCACCCTGCACCACCGCCAGCTGTGGTGCGCATTAAGTTTAGTTTTAGAGATTAATATGTTTATAGATTTTTTTTTTTAGAGGTTTAGAGATTAATATTTTTGCTTTTTGTTTGCGAAACAAGAGGAAGCTGGTTCTGGTTCGGTGAATTGGACCTGGTGTTACACCATACCCTGTGACCTGCAACAGTGCAACACCGCCCCCTACGGTCATACGGGTGGTCATATAATATGACGTCACTACGGACAATCGACGTTACATTTTTAACCTCGATAGATGTCCTAGCAATCGATGTGTAGATTACTCGAATACTCTGTTAATGCCCTAATATATATATATCAAGTTCACACGAGAAGATGTAAAAAAAGTGGCAGGCTGGCTTTCTTGGATTGTGAGGTCTCAGTCTCTGATAAAGGACATTTACAAACTGAGGTGTACCGCAAACACACCCACACTGACCAGTATTTGCAGTTTGACTCCCATCACCCTTTGGAGCACAAGTTAGGAGTCATCAGGACTCTGAATCACAGAGCAGACAGCATCCCCACTAACTCAGGAGCCAGGCAGAAGGAGAAATCCCACACAAGACAGGCTCTAGAGCAATGTGGAAATCCTAACTGGGCCTTCCTTAAAGCAGAGAAGAAACCCAAAGAGGACTCCAGTCAGCCATCAGGTGAAAAGGAGGAACCCAGACCCAGACCAGTGGTCATTCCGTATGTTGAGGGAGTATCAGAGAAACTGAGATGTTTATTTTCTAAACATAACGTCCCAGTGGCTTTTAAACTCCAAAATACATTACGGCAAAGACTGGTTCATCCCAAAGATCCAGTCCCCAGTCACAAACAGAGTAATATTGTGTATGCTGTTCAGTGTCAGGAGGGCTGTGATCAGTTTTACATCGGGGAAACTAAACAGCCACTGGCCAAAAGGATGGCCCAGCACAGAAGATCAACATCATCAGGCCAGGATTCTGCGGTCTACACTCATCTCCAGGACAGCGGTCACTCTTTCAAGGATGAAGATGTTCACATCCTGGACAGAGAGGAACGATGGTTTGAGAGAGGATTAAAGGAGGCCATCTTTGTGAAAAGAAACCATCCATCATTAATTCAATTCAATTCAATTCAAAAATACTTTATTAATCCCAAAGGGAAATTAATTGTTGTTGTAACTTGTTGTCCTCATTTCGTTCAGAGATGTTATAGATACTGATGGCTGTAGACAGGAAGGATCTCTTGTAAAGGTCCATCCCACAGTGGATCCTAAGAAACTGGTTGCAGATGCTGTCCGATCCGTCCACCCAGACTCGGCTGGCCTCTTGGTTCCCCCAGGCCATAGGACCGCCCGAGTGCCGGGCTGAACTCCTCCCAGAGCGATGACCACTCCTCCCAGCAGTCTGCCGAGCTCCTCATCGCTACAGACAGCTAATTGTAGGTGCTGAGGGACGATCCTGTCCTTCCACTGTCAGGAGCCGTGTTTCTTGCTAGTTCCAGGATCTCAGTGGTCAGGCACTCCAGCACAGGTGGCAGGTAGATGAGAATGCATCCACAGAACATCCTTTTCAACTCATTTGAGAGTTGATGTTGTAGTTGAGATATTATTTGAGCTTTTGAGATGTTAATCAGCTGCTGTTGGTTGTAGAAAACTGCCTTGTTGCCATGGTTACACGTCATAACAAATGTCCAAAACTAAAAAAGTTTCAGTAAAAATCATTCCAGCTGCACAGCATTCGATACCAGAGGAAACAATCATCCAAAAAATGTGATTTACATACAGAAAAAAAGGAATTAAAGTTTCCAAAAGCAAAATCTCAGAATGAAAGTAACAGAGCTGCTCCAACATGCAGCCACCTTGAGCGGCACAATTCTAGAACTGGAGTGGAGGCCTCTGTGTTCAACTGTCCCCCTCTTAGGGGTCGTTTACATGGCTTGTATTTTGAATGCATCCGCAGGTTTCTCTCTGCGGTTCTGCTGATCATTTACACGACAACAGTGGCCACAGTGGCCCCCCTCTTTGAATCCAGAGGTTTTTCAACCCACCTTCCAGAGTGGAGGTTTGTCGCTGACCCCCCACTGATAATGTAAACATCTCCTGCTGAGGCTTTGTGTTAAACCACATGCGCACACGCATGCACGGACTGACGCTATATTTCTATCAACATGGTGGCGGATACACTGCTTTCAGAACCTCGACTGATGGAATATATTTTTAATCTCGTAGTTAATCTATGTCAGATTCCAGGTGCTGTGACCAACATCTGTGTTGGAAGAGACACAATCTTATCTAGTTCTAATGTTGTTGTTTATAGAAAGTGGCACGCGCACACGCCGCGCTGCACTATAACATACTAAATGTGCAAATTAATAACAGTTTAATAATAATAAACATTATTTATGTTAGTGTGAGAGATATAATGAAGCTCTGAGTTAAATTAAACTATCTGGACATTATGTAATTCAAATTTAAAATGATGTTAAACATATATCGTGAACACTAAAGTTGAAAATGAAGACATCAGGTTTAATTTTTATTTATTTATTCAACACCACAAACTGTATGTCACGTAAACACTGATAATTAAACTGAACACATAAAAAACATGTAAACTGTAAACCGCGTTAATGAACAACTGCACTCTTGTTTTCATCCGGTATGTAAGTCCCACATTGTTCATCTGGCTCGTTCAAGCTATCACTACTTTGATTAATGCAGCTTAAAACATTGAATGGATTGAATAAAACAACTGAGGGGAATTTTTAATAAATAGTTCATCCAACAGCTCTCTCTTCGACGTCTTCCTGCACTGCACCTGGGCCGAGCCTCGTTCAGAACCAGTCCGCCTGGTAGGAGACAGCTTCTTCTTCTTTCAGGAAAAATAAAAACTCTGTTGTTTTGTAACCAAAGTAAACACAAACTAACATTATTAAGAACATTGATTTACCTACTGTAAAACAACTACTGATTATCACGGAGTAAAGTCCAACATCGTCGACTCGGTTGTGGTCCACTCAGCGACCGGTGTGGAGCTGTTAGACGAAGCGGTCCCGCTTGGCGTCAAATCTGTCAACTCTTATCCACAATCCAGCCAAAATCCAGCTTTTACTTGTTGTTAAATTGTTGTTAGCTGAGCTTTTTAGTTCACAGGAAAGGCGCGTGCCGCATGCGCATTAGGTGAAGGTACAAAATTCACAGCGCCATCTAATGGCCCGGCAGGGTAACTACAGCGGATTCGTGAGGGCGGGGGGGGGAATCCTCCGGATGCATGTAAACCCAAAATCCGTCTGTGTCAAAGCGGATCTTTTCCTTTAATTAACATACGAAAAAACCTACGTTTCCCCCCATCGTGTCCGTGTAAATAGGGCCTTACAATGCTGTTATTGCTAGTATCACTCAGCTCCCTGTTAATAGTAAACAGCCATCAGGGTGCTAATGATCCATCGTTAGGCTGTTGGCAACGGTGTCAGAAGCATCCGTAATGTGGGGGGGACACAATGATGTGTCAGTGTTTCCCCTACCATTATACAGGCAGGGTGCCCCACCCCGTCAACAGAACTGAGCACCCCGCCTACCAAACCGAACTTGCCCCTCCCACCTCCACCCGGCACTGACATATCACTAAGCTAGCGGCATAAAATACAGGCTCTCTAGCTAAAAAGCCAAAGGCAGCACTCACATTGCCTCTTCACTCATGTTGAACGCCCCCCGCTCCCGCTCAAAAACTGTTAGTACAAGCTGCACTCAGACATGTCTCCGTCCCCCCATCAGCAAAAATCATGGATGAGATGAGCACCCTGCCATGGCAAACTAACTAGGGGAAACACTGTGTGTGTAGGTGTGTGT